ACTTGTCAATTTCTGCAACAAAACCAGTTGGGATTTTGACAGGAATTGGGTTGAATCTGTATGTAAATTTGGGGAGTATTGTTATCTTAACAATATTAAATCTTCTGTTGCTTTGCAGAAGCTTTTCAGTTTGATGAGGTCCCACTAACAAAATAAAAATAAAAATAAATAAATCTTCTGATCTTTTCAATTCATCTTAATTTTTTTTTTTTTGAGTTGAATTCTAGCTCTGTCACCCAGGCTGGAGTGCAATGCACGCTCACAGCCACCTCAGTGTTGACCTGCTGGGCTCCAGTGATCCTTCCACCTAAGCCTTCCAAGTAGCCAGAACTACAGGCATGGGCTACCACACCCGACTAATTTTTTTTTTTAATTTATTGTAGAGACGAGGTCTCACCATGTTCCCCGGGCTGGTCACCAACTCACAGGCTCAGACAATCTTCTCACCTCAGCCTCCCAAAGTGCGGGGATTACAAGCTTGAGCCACCACAGCCAGCCCATCTTCTTTAACTTATTTCAGCAATGTTTTGTTTTCAGTTTGTTTGACACTTCTTTTGTAACAGTTATTCCCAAATGTGTTATTTTCTTTGCTACTACTATAATGAAATTATTTCTAAAATTTCATTTTGGGGTTGTTCATTTCAAGTTTACAGAAATACAATTTAATTCTGTATATTGTTCTTGAATCTCACAAACTTGTTGAACTTGTTTGTTCTAATGTTTTTTGTGTATATGTGGATTCATTCGGATTTTATATGTAACACATTATATTACCTGCAAATAAAGATAGTTTTCCTTCTTCCTTTCCTAGCTGGATAACTTTCACTGGTTTTTTTTTCCCCTTGCCAAATTGCCATGGATAGAAGCTCCAGTATAATGTTAAATAGAAACAGTGAGAGAAGACTTTCTTTTTTTTTTTTTTTGAGTTGGAGTCTCACTCTATCACCCAGACTGGAGTGCAGTGGCTGCTCCCGGCCACCGCAGCCTCAACCTGCTGGGCTCCAGCAATCCTTCCACATCAGCCTTCCAAGTAGTTGGAACTACAGGCGTGCGCTACCACGCCTGGCTAATTTTTTGATTTACTGTAGAGATGAGGTCTTGCTAAGTTGCCCGGGTGGGTCTCGAACCCGTGGGCTCAGGCAATCCACTCACCACAGCCTCCCAAAGGCGCAGGATTACAGGCTGAGCCACCGAGCCTGGCTAGAGAAGACTTTCTTATTCCTGATTTTAGGTACAAAACTTCTACTTTTTCACCATTAGGTATAATGTTATCTGTGAGTTTTTCCTTGACACCCTTTATCAGGCAGAGGAATTTCCTTTCTAATCCTAGTTATTGAAGTGCTGTTGGTTTTTTTTTTTTTTTTTTTGAATCATGATAGGGTGTTGGACTTTGTCAAATACTTTTTCTGAATCTATTGGGATGGCATATCACATTACTTGATTCCAGATGTTAAAAGACCTTGCATTCCTGAGATTCATTCCACTTGGTCACAGTGTACAATCCTTTCTATATGTTGTTGTATTCAGTTTGCTAGTGTTTCATTGAGGCTTTCTATGTCTATATTCATAAGAGGATATTGATCTATAGTTTTCCTGTGATGTATTTGGTTTTGGTGTCAGGGTAATACTGTCCTCATAGAATGAGTTGGGAAGTGCTCGTCCCTCTTCTATTTTTTGGAAGAGTTTGTGATGATTGAGTATTAATCCTTTAAATGTTTGGTATACCTCACCAGTGAAGCCATCTGGGACTGGGCAAACTCCACCTTACTGCTGTTACTGATGAGTTTGGTTTTACAACCTCCTTGTGAGACCTTGTGTCAGTTATCAGTGTATTGCCTCTTAGCTCTAAATTCACCCTTTACTGCTATGAGGAAATACATGAGCCTTTAATTTTTTTTTGTTGCTGTCCATCATGATGATAAGCTTTATAGGTAGAAGGGCCAGGAGAGGCATTTTAAAAGGAATAGGTTTTTCTTCCCGGTGTGCTCACTGGCACACTCCTACAACATAGTAGTTTTTCCAGAATCTGCTCCTGCTTTGCTTGGTGGCCAGAAACACCCAGCAGCCAGCAGAGTACCCTAGCACTATACTGGACAGTTTTATAGCAGAGGTTTCCAGGAGGTTGCTATCCATAAATAGCTTTCCTCAGCACTCTAGAAGTGCCAACAAATTGTGGAGGGTGGATTTATAGTAAATCCACTGGAAGATTTGCAGTGACTTCTTGCCATGGCCATACCTCTTCAAAAAGGTTTCAATCTCACTAGCTGGAGGGTAGTGGCTATTCCTCATATCTTCTATTCCTATCTATACCTTTTAAAGCTCTCTTAGTTCTTATCAGCCATTCCCTAATTATTCCAATGCCTTGTTATAGTTAATAATACTTTGTATTAAACTTTTCCTATTCAAATTACTGAGTGGTTTGTCTCCTGGTTATACCCTGACTGATAAAGGCACTTTAAGTTTTTCCATCTATCTCTGGCTCTAGTATATAAAAGACATTCAATGAATACAGTCCCTTAATAGCATCATGACACACAATTTTCATATGCAGCTATTACAGTTCCAAGCTCTTTCTTGTATCCATCTCACACTTCTTGAGCAGTTACTGTCTGTGCAAAGTGCAGTGTGTTTTCTGTGCTCTGGGATCTTGCAGTCATAGCAAGAGAGAAGAGGAGAGAGTTGACGGCTAGAAGAATAACAATAGCTAATATGGTCTTGAATAATAGAACTCAGCTGGAGAAAACTCAATGAGATGACATTGCAGAGATAAGTTGGAGTCAGATGATGACAGGCCTTGACTTCTGTTGGAAAAGACAGTCGACCATGGTCTTGGGCATCCCTGCATGTGCTTGCTAAGTATGCCAAGCATAAGGCCTAACTTTTCCCAATACTGAGTCATTTCTGTAACTAGTCACATTAGCACTAAAGCAAGTTAAGATGATCAGAGACTAGCTACCATGAAACAGCTCACTCACTGGGGAAGGAGACTGGTTTATTTGCTGCATGCTACAAAAGATGCTAGGCCCTTGGCTCTGGTTCTCTCAGTTGTAGTGCAACCCACTGCATGTGTAGTTGCCATCTGAGCCCATTACATTTACTCCATGGGACCTGGGGACAGGACAACCAGTGCTACCATGCTGATGATCCTGCTAATTGCTGTGTTAAGAGTAATGCATTTTTATTTATTTATTTATTTATTTTTTGAGCTGGAGTCTCACTCTGTCACCCAGACTGGAGTGCAGCGGCCGCTTCCGGCCACTGCAGCCTCGACCTGCTGGGCTCCGGCGATCTTTCCGCCTCAGCCTTCCAAGTAGCCAGAATTACAGGCATGTGCTACCACACCCAGCTGATTTTGATTTATTGTAGAGATGAGGTCTTGCTGTCCAGGCGGGTCTCGAACCCGAGGGCTCAAGCAATCCACTCACCTCAGCCTCCCAAAGGCGTGGGATTACAGGCTGAGCCACCGAGCCCAGCTAGTAATGCATTTTTAAAATCTGATTCACCATATCTCATCTACTTTTGGTGCCAGTGAAGTTGTGGTAAGTGAACCTGCTTTCTTGCTTAGTCATCTCCTTTGGAGGCTTGTTACTTCTTGCTGTTCTCTAGGTTGGCAGAAGGTGGCATGACTACAAAACGAGAATAAATATTAACTAGAAAGATGTTTCCTTATTTAGAAATTCAGATAAATGGCAAAGCTGTTGAAAACAAGAAAATTTGAATATTTAAATTTGCTTTTGTATTGTGATATACCAGGACCAAACTTGAATGCTATTCCAAAGAAGAATCTGATAACAGAATGTAGTTCAGATTTAGAGGGTGGTGATGGGGAGGCTAATCTTATGAAATTGCTAACACAGTTCAAACAGTAGTTGATAAGAAAAAAGTGTGTTATCTTTTACTTTTTATAGTAAGTCCTATGTTTGAGAAGTTATGATTCCTTGTGATTTTTTATTATTCATTCATTCATTTATTGTAGACATGAAGTCTCTCAATGAACTCCTGGGTTCCAGCGATCCTATCTTAGCCTTACAGACACATCTGGTGGCAGTTATTGGCCCAAGTCGACAGTCACTCCCTCCCAGGTCCTAGGAGCTCTCACCACTGCTAGGAAACCTGATCAAGCATGATTGAAGCTTCAGGAAATTTGACGGAGAAAACAGCGATTTCAAGTGGGAACCCAAAAAAGTCAGATGATGGAAACCCTGAACTACTATGGGTTTGGAATTCAGCTGCTTCTCACGTGGGCAACTAACTGTGCTCCAGGCAAAGTTACAACAGGGATTTAATTGAGTTATTGATTTTCCCAGGTCATGTGTGGAGAGCTCAGGCATGTGAAAATGTGCATATGATGTGTATGCTTGCGGGGGGTGGGGGGGAAGTTTAGGGAGAAATACACATCAAAGTGTTCCGTTCGTTCATTCATCAGGTTATTACTTAGTTTGTGCCAGACCTTGGGCTATCTCAGAACTACAGCTGACAGCGTAGCAAGGGAGACAAACGAGCAAGACTAAAACGTTATGTTTAGTTTCTTCTTTTGCTGTTTTCCAAATGCGAACAAATATCTTCTCTAACAACCAAGGTTTTATTTTGAAAAACGCTTTCCCTGTTTATAGGCCAGATACTCTGCTGAGGACAGAGTCGGAAGGGAGGGCCTCTGAGTCCAATTTCAGAAGTCTCTCTCTTAGCTCCCAGGGAACCCACGGCACACTCTGTGGAGGCGTCTTGTATCCCACGGTGCGGCCGATCACAGGACATGCGACCCGGGGCACTGTAAGTTGAGGCTCTTCGACGTACTAAAGCCGCACGTTTCCTATACCAACCCGCGGACAGACTGCAAGATAGTTGGCCTGTTAGCGACGCTCTCACAGCCACCTTGAGAGGGACCCTATGAACTAGTAACGATTAGACTTCACACACTTAGGTCCGAGTCCAACGGACTTCTGTTACAGGAAACGGAAAGCCCTGGGATGGCTGGTGATTGGACGCGGAGCTGAAAGCGGAAGCCGGATGCCGGAAGCGGTGTTTGATGGCACCCGTGATGGCGGAGGCCGCCAGTGTGGCTGCCGAATCTCTCGGGGGCGGCAGGGCGCGGGCGGCGCGCACAGTATTGGATCAGGTGGTGCTCCCGGGTGAGGAGCTGCTGCTGCCAGAGCAGGAGGACGCAGACGTCCCTGGTGGTGCAGGGGAGAAACTGTTGCGCCTGAATGCGGGAGCGCGGTCGCGGGTGCGCGTGGTGTGCGGCCCAGGCTTGCGGCGCTGTGGGGACCGCCTGCTGGTCACCAAGTGCGGTCGTCTCCGCTACAAGGAGCCGGGCAGTGGCAGCGGCGGCGGTGTTTACTGGGTGGACTCGCAGCAGAAGCGGGTGAGCTGGGACTCCGGAAGGGTGATGCAGCCGGGAGAGTAATAGCTTCGCGCACGAAGAGCGCGAGAAGGCAGGGATGAAGCCCTGGAGCTCTCATTTGTTAAGGCTGCCTTAGAGCCACCGTAGTTTCGTGCCCACTTCTGTATCTTTAGGGGGACCGTGAACAATAGGAACACAGCCTGAGAAGGGCGACCCAGAGAGAAAGGCGTCTGGGGATCGCGAGTCATGGTGGTTGTCTTTTCAAAACCCCAGTGTTCAGGGAGCGGTAGGCTTGCCCTTGAGAATCTGAAAAGGCAGAACCAGGCTCAGCGAGTGGATGTCACAGGGAGTTACATTTTTCTTAGAACAGGTAAGGACTTTCATATAGGAAAAAACTGCCCAACAATGGAATGTGTTTCCTTAGTTGTAAGGATCCCTGTGACACTGGGTTTATACACAGAAGCTGTGGACTTACTGATAAGGATGCTGCAGAGGTATGGGATACTGGCTCAAATTAACAGGACTGTTAGACGCTGCAAACCAGCGAGTTTATTATTTTCTTTCATTAGAAGTGGCATATGATCAATTTCTTGTAAGATTTGTATTAATTTGTAAACTTGAATTTCAAAATATTCGCTAAATACCTCCTTAATGACAGTAAAAGACTTGCCGAAGTTATTTTCCCATGATATATCTTGTCACTCATGGCTGTTCCTCATTCTGTTTTCTTTGGTAGTATGTTCCAGTGAAAGGAGACCATGTGATTGGGATAGTGACAGCTAAATCTGGAGATATATTCAAAATTGATATCGGAGGGAGTGAGCCAGCTTCTTTGTCTTACTTGGCATTTGAAGGTGCAACTAAAAGAAACAGACCAAATGTGCAGGTAATAATGGGAGTCTGGTTTTAAAAGTAAGATAAACATTCATTCCCCACAACACTCACACATCCAAAAGGCTACCTAAATTGTCTCCAATGCATGACCCAGATCTCCCAGTATCTGTGTAATTGTCCTAGGTCCAAAGAGTTTCTTCTGATTCTCCAACTTCAGGACCAGAGCTTATTTTACATTTGTTACAATCGTCTTTGGAATGTTTTGTTTCTACTGAGTTGAAAGTTTATCACTGTTACCTCTTTTCTGTGTTGTGTCTATATATCCACTGGGCAAAGAAGTTAGCCATAGCTTGGAGAGGGAAAACAAGTGGTGCAAGTTGATATTATTAGCTACCCATCCATCCTGGTTGTAGGTCCTTGGACTTGACGGAGGAGTAATCTTGTTAGCTCAGATTTTCACTTTGGGTTTTTCAGGTAGCATAATTACACTTTATTCACCCAAGCCAGAAGTTTGGTAGTTCTTTGCCCCTTCTCATTCACTTCTCATGTGATTTTAGTTGCTTAAGCCTCCTTTCATCCTATTTGATTCTGTCTCTGATCTTTTGCATATCCACTCCTTTATCTCCACTTTGCAGGTTTAGGCTTTGGCTCCCTTTTGACTGGGCTCAGTCACCTCCCCATTAATCCCTGCTTCCACACTTTTGTGAGAGCTGACATTTTCAAACACTCCCTGTCTCAAAAAAAAAAAAAACAAAAAACAAACTTTGAAGCTTACAGAATCCCTGTACACTTCCTTAGACTCCAGGGATTTTCCCTTATCTATAATGATTTCATTCATACAGCCATGCTTGAACCACACCCTGAACACCACTGAATTCAGTTTCCTGCCCTTGTAGCTTTGTTTATGCCTTGATTACACTTTTCCCTCTCAACCTGGGGAACACATGCTCAGCCTTTGCAACCCAGGCTAAACATGACCAGCTCTGTAAAGCCATCCCTAGTCGTCACTTGTATCTTTGCTCCAGCACTTACTGGATTTAGCTTGAATGAAGTTTGTTTATATGTACATCCCTGCCGTCCTTCAAGACCAACTGCTTCTGAAAGGCAGAGAATGTTTTATTCCTTTCTAGTTCCTATAGTCACCAGCAAACAGTAGGTACTTAATGTTTTGTTAAGTGACCAGAACAAGTTCAGTCTCCATTTCCTCGGTTTCATAATTTTGAAGTTCAGCTCTGTGAAGTTTTAAAGTAAATCTTGCATGGAGAAGTATCGGTGAATTACCATTATTCCGTTTTGCTTTGAATAATTTGTATGCCAGGAGTTCCTTCCTCTGTCTATAAATCTATAATTGTAGTGCTAATAGAACTTTCTACAGTGATGCTATTTTATGTCTGTACTGACTAGTATGGTAGCCACTCACTTATAAGCACTTGAAATGTGGCAGTGTAAATAATGAACTTAATTTTAAATATATGACTTTAAGTAAGTTTAAATAACTACATGTGGGTACTGACTACCTACCATGTTGGGCAGTACAGTTCTACAAGATGTTCTCTGGCCTTGAAATGGCTCCTGGTCTGGGGATTTCCTGGTTGGTGAAAGGGGAGGGTATATGTTAATCCTTTGCACTCAGTGACATCTCGTAGGTCACCTACCAGCAACTCAGTCACACTTTTTTTTTTACAAAAAAGTGAAAAAGGAATCACTTAATATTAAATAGTATAGCATTGGAACCATTATTTTATTGTAATGTTACTTAGCTTATAATGGAATTTTGGAGAACTTATGAGAAAACTGAAGAACTTATGAGAAAAAAATTACAAGCTTATGTTTTTATTTTCTTTTTTTGAGTCTGAGTCTTATTCTGTCGCCTAAGCTGGAGTACAGTGGCACACTCACGTCTACTGCAGCCTTGACCTGCTGGGTTCAGGTGATCCTTCCACTTCAGCCTTCCAAGTAGCTGGAACTATAGGCATGTGCTACCATGCCCAGCTAATTTTTTGATTTATTGTAGAGATGAGGCCTCGCCATGTTGCCCAGGCCGATCTCGAACCCGTGGGCCCAGGCAATCCTCTCACCTCCACATCCCAAGTGCTAGGATTACAGGCATGAGCCACCACGCCTGGCTATCTTATACTTTTCTAACGTGTGGTAAAATGTGAAACAGTCACCAACATGCATTGCAGTTTAATTGATATATGTGCAGAGTAGTTTGTTTGACATCTTCCACCTGGTGTTTTTCTATTTCAGCAGGCAGTGCAGTCTCATTTTCCTCCCACATTAATATGCAATTTATTGTCCAGTATGTTGTTCGAAGATGATGTGGAAGGACACATTCTTGATTCCTGAAAACCACTTCTCTCAACTCATCAATCAGAAATTTGACAATTTTCAAAAAGGAAATAGGTTTTTTATTGTTTTTGACTGGAAAACTTCAAGGAAACATACATTTTTGAAAAACTTACACTTGCCTAAGTTTATCCTATGTAATCACCAGCAGTCTTTTTATGTTAACTGAGTGGGAACATCCAAGTGCAAAGGGTTAATTTTGTCTTCCTTCAAGACTCCAGAGTGACTAGGAATTCTACAGTGTAAGTCACAAAACTATAGGTGGTTGGCATTGCTGCCTGTGTGTAAGAGCCAATAGCAACATCTGTAGAATGGTTTGCTGAGAGGAAATGAGCTAGTTTTTAATATCGTTGTAGGTTGGAGATCTCATTTATGGCCAGTTTGTGGTTGCTAATAAAGATATGGAACCAGAGATGGTCTGTATTGACAGCTGTGGACGAGCCAATGGAATGGGTGTGATTGGACAAGATGGTCTGCTTTTTAAAGTGACTTTGGGCTTAATTAGAAAGTAAGTTCTGATGCTGGCTTGCCTGTCTTCTTTAATTTAAACTATACTTTCTTGGAAAGCTTATCTTTGGGATTTGGGTTTGGTAAACAACATCTGAATTTCTCAAGGTTAAAAATCAATATCCTCCTTAACACACTGGTAAACTCATGAACTTACTTATATCTAAATGTAATGTAATTGTCTCTACAATAAATCAAAAAATTAGCAGGGCGTGGTGTTGTGCACCTGTGGTTCCAGCTACTTGGAAGGCTGAGGCAGAAGGATTGCCTGAGCCCAGCAGGTCGAGGCTGCAGTGGCTGTGAGCTTGCCACTGCACTCCAGCCTGGGTGACAGAATGAGACTCCGAAAAAAAAAGTGCTCTGACAATCTAGAAAAATTTTATACATTTTTCGCAAAGAGGGAGTTTCTTTGTGTGGCATAATCTACCTTTGTGACTTCTGGTTTATCTTTGAAAAGTACAAAGCTTTTTGGATGAAAAGAGGCAGTGAATATCGTTGTGTGTCATGTTCTTGAAAAGATAGAGAACTACCCAGAAAAGCAATTTCCTTCTAAGAGTCAGGACACACCTTTACCACTTCATTAAATTTTATTTTCTTTCGTCTTCCCACCAGGCTTTTAGCTCCAGACTGTGAAATCATACAGGAAGTAGGAAAACTGTATCCACTGGAGATAGTATTTGGAATGAATGGAAGAATATGGGTTAAGGCAAAAACCATTCAGCAGACTTTAATTTTGGCAAACGTTTTAGAAGCTTGTGAGCACATGACATCAGATCAAAGAAAACAAATCTTTGCCAGGTTGGCAGAAAGTTGATACATGTGGACTTTTTAAATGGGTCAGTTGAGCCAAGAAACTATGGGTTTCCTGGGGGAAAACCTTTTTCAGGTGAACTTCTCCCTATTAAATCTTCAGAAGACAAGGTATGAATGTACATAATGTCTCAGATTCCTAAGTTAAATATTTTTATATGTAAGTTACTGGTTTTCACCCATGCTCTTGTGGGAAAGTCAAAACAAAATTACAATTTTTTTTTTTGTTCTGTACAATAAAGTTTACTAAAAAGTTGATACTATGGTTTATTTATTTGGCGTTAACTTCCTTAGTTTTGCTAGACTGCAGCTTCCATAATGAACTGGAAGCCAGCCCTAAAATAATTATTTTCTGATTATAATAGCAAAACATGTTCACCAAAGGAAATGTAGACTACATAAAAAGCATAAAGCAGCAAACAAAAGCCATCCATAATCCCCATTATTCAGTGTATATAAGAGTTAACAATTATCATGTGTTTATCATATACCAAGTATTGTTCTGAGTGTTTTGCATGGATTAATTCATTCGTAACTGCAAAAGACACTTATAGTTGAAGAAACTGAAGCACAAAATTGAACTTGGCCTACATTCTCGATGTGCATGTATGTTTTTCAGATTGGAATTATAGGATATGTTATATGTTGCTTTGTAATATTCTTTGTCCAAATAGCATATAAATTTCTTTCATAATTTATTAAAAAATTAGTTGTTGCATATTTCATTTTCATGTTATAGGATATGTTGAAAAAGTTCTTTCTTTTTTTTTTTTTAAATACAAAATAACATGATTTCTGAATCCAAATCTGGCCAAATCTTATTTTGGTAAAATCATTTCCGAAAGGCTAAACAAAAAACGACCTGCTCAGGTTCTGGATAAACAGGAGAGGTAAGTAATAAAGTTGGAAAGAAAATTCTTCCATGCTACTTTGTATATTAAGCAAAACCTTTATAGATAAAACGAAGACTAGCAGATGATCCAGATCAGTGGTTCTGGACCTCTTTGAGAATTATATAAGAGAGAACTGATTCCCTGAAGACTATCCATAGAAAGTTCTCCCTTTTAGAAGAAAGATTACAGAACTCAATAGGGCCAAAAGCATTGTGTACCCCTAAAGATGTTTTCTGAGGACTGGCCAGTTTTTAAATAATAAAAAGGATACATTTTTTGACTTAGCTGCCAGCTTAACTAGCAAATTAACTAATCCAAACTGGCAAGAGTAATTGAAACATATATCAAACTAGGATACGAGAAATAGGAGATTTGTATAGTAAGAGGTAGGCTACCTTAACATGCTCATGGGCCAGAATGTAACATTTTCTGGCTATATTCAAGTTAGACTTTATTAATACCGTTTTGCTTTACAATTTTATCTGTTAGTTACAGATATATGAAGTGAAGATATATAAATAATCTAGTCTGTATAAGTCTTAGGATGCAAAGAGTTTCACCTAAATTGTCCTGTTAGGATCCTACCATTAGGAAGAAAGAATCCATACTCAGAGCAAGGGAGAGAAAGAGCCACAAGAGGGAAAAAGTTGCCATGGGGACACAGAATAGGGATAGGTCAGGACAGACTGACCACAAAGCTTATGTACAGCATATTGAGATAGGAAAGAATGAGCATGATCAGAGAAGGCTGAGAAAGTCATACCTTTTTATGATGCCAGTTTAGTAAAATTAAACTCTTGGTATAATAATAGCTAATTAGTTAAACAATCTCCAAAGAGTTGGTCTTTCACAAACAGAGACAGATATACAAAAGTTGAATTAACACATCCAAAGCCATAGGTTCTGGGACTAATTACTTATTATGTAAACTTTAAAAAAATTTATCTGGGCACTTCCTGTGAGCCAGGCACTATAGAGCATAAAATGTGGTCCCTGTCACTAGTAGCTTATTGTGAAGATCCAAGAAGATGTCAAGTAAAGGCCAGTGTGTACCACTGCCACCCTCTGCCCTGCTCTTTGGTCAAGGCACCTCGAGTCCTTCACTTCAGGAGCTGCAATCTTTGGCTGCCTGTCATTCCACCAAGTTCCAAAGAACGTAGCCTTTTCCTGAGGAAACTCCTTTCTTCAAGGCTTCAGGCCAGTTGTGAGTCTCAAAGTATGTGGACAGGATATCAAACACTGTTAGAGAAGTGAACAGAAAACAGTGACCACAAAGGGGGAAAAAAAAGAACTGGTAAGTGACTAATGAAGAGAAAAGGATGTTTTAGAGTATTTCATTCAACAGTCTTATTCTGCATTGCACACTGTACTAGGTCCTAGAGGGAGAGAGGCAAAGACACAGGCCTTCAAGGACATAGCCTACACGGAGAGATAAAGCCTGTGAATGGACATATGTGCAACACAGAGAAGCACAGTAAAGTGGGAACACAAAGGAGGGCCCTGACATGGCCTGGGATGGGGAGGGAATGAGGCAGGATCCTCCTGAAAAACCTGAAGAACGAACAGAAACTCATTGGTCAGTGTTGAAGGCATGACATTGTAGGTCAAGAGGATAGTTTAATCTATCTTTAACATAATTGGGGATGAGAAAGAAAATGAAGAATGCCTCTCATGTCTCTTCACTGTAACAGAATACCTGGCACAAAATGCATGCAATAAAGTCTAAGCACATTAGTCACAGAGGAGACTTATTCAAGGGCCACTTAACTACAGTGCAAGGCAGCAGCACCAGAACTAATGCATGCTGGATGGGGGCCACGTGAGCTGTACCTTGATTGATGGCCAATATCTGTGAATGATAGTTTTTTCCATTCTGGCATTTGACCATGTATTCCTGGATTGGTAAGCGGGCTGTCCTGACAGAGTATTCCCAGGCCTTTTGCAACGTCACCTTCTGTAAGTTACAGTTAAAAGTTTTTCTTATTATAAAAATTATACACAAATATTTTCTCATTGTAATATGCATAACCAATTGTGAGAATACCTACTTACCTCCTATTTTGATCTGTAATCATAAAGGATAAACACAGTAAAATTAGCCTGTGGTAGACTGGAGGAAACTGCAGATAATGAAGAGTAATTATTCCAAATAAGGAAGGGCTTATGTGGCAACATCTCCCTTTTGTAGGGGGGTCTCTTACTCACAGCCCTCCACTCACTAGCACTTACAACCAACAGGGAAATAAGCAAAAGAGGCACATGTACAGCCACAATCGGTATCAGAAGGCCCAAGCAGCTGATCAGAGAACACTCCTGCCCCTAACTCAGTAAGACCCAATTCTGGATGTCAGGAACTTCCAGCTCATTGCCAAATGGCAGCAGCAAGTCAGAAAAGAGAGAATTCAAGACAAGTACACCATTGTAACAAGTGGCTCTACAACAGGGTATGAGAATAGATAGCCCAATTAAAGGAAAGGCAGAAAGAAGTCCAAGAACTCAAAAAGTCCAACAATTTGAGGTCATTTAGTCAGAGTACAGAAACTGATGTCCCTGAGTCATGAACCAAAACTTAAATTATATTCATTACTTTGTAAGAAGCACAGGAAAGATTTTCTACCTTTCTAAGTTTCAGGAGAAAGGTTTAGATTACTGAGGTAATTAACATGCTCAGGTTTGGAAGGGGTCTCCATAGTGTTAACTATCCCACTCTAGTCACTCAACCAATGTTTGTCTACCTTCTATGACTTCTCTCCCAAGTGGCCATGTGGCCTCTCAATGGACAACTCTTGTGACAGGGAACTAATACATCCCGGGGCAACTCATTCCAACTTTAACAGTACTGGTTGACAGAAAATTCTTCTTGATATTGAGCCAAGTTTTCTGTTTTCTCTGAGGCTTTGGCTTATTCATCTAGTTCTAGTATCCCAAGGCCACACTGCGCAAGTAAAATCACCCTTCCACAAGATGACCACTCAGCTCCTTGAAGGCAGTGATCATGTCCCTGTGAATCCTCTGGTCTGCACACTATCTCAGTTCTCTTAATTCTTTGATTATGACTTAGCTTCAAGTCCCATTATTCAGGGCAAGCTCTTCTGAACTTGTTCTAGCTAGTCAATGTTCTTTCATTTATGGTCCCATAACTGACTGGCCACCCTGAGTGTGGTTTAACCGAATGGAACAGTGTGAAACAGGCCTAGCGCCTTTCTGTTCTGACACTGGATTACCTGCCTCTCAGACTCACATGAGACCTTATTCCAAGAGAGTACTTCCAAAAATGTTTTAAGTGATGCAACTCAGATGGGACAAGGGTACAGCTACTCAAAGGACTTCTGTGAAAAGATAACACTTCTTTGTATATATGAGGTATCATATACTTGTTATTATAAAGTCTTATTCCTTTATAATGACTTTGAACTAGTGTACAGAATTCAAAGTTAGCAGGATATTTGGAAGCTGTCCTGGAATACTTACATTTTAGTTTCTGTTCTCTGCACATTTTAAGAGAAAATGACTCTTCTTGAAGAAATGTTTTTAGTTTATTTCTGTGAAGAAGCCAAATTCTTCAATAACACCAACAAGTTCTATGTACCTGACAAATCTCTGTGCCAGTTATTTTTCAGTTTAAGTTTTAGCTCACTGACCTTCTGCTCTTTACTGCCTCAAAAAAGGGGCTGTCACCCTGCTGCAGGAGAGCTCACAGGGTAAGCAGTGACCCTGTACTCTGTTATAAGGCTAACTTCTTCCCTCTAAATTCTTTATTTTGAGGTATTTTGAACCTAAGAAAAGTTCAAAGAATAATTCAATCAATATTCATTCCTACCATCTAGATTCACCAGTTAACTTTTTATAAAATTAGCTTTTTGCTTTCTGCATATAAATACATATTTTGTGGAACCATTTGAAAGTAAGCTACAGACATCATAATGCTCCACTACATACTTAAGCATGCATCTAAGAACAATGAAATTCTCCTATTCTAAGAAATTTTTCAATAATTCCATAGTTTCACTTAATACAACCTATGTAAAAAATCTCCCCAACTTTTCTCCCCAATTTTTTTTTTTTTTTTTGAGTTGGAGTCTCACTCTGTCGCCCAGGCTGGAGTGCAGTAGCACACTCATGGCCACCACAGCCTTGCTTTGCTGGGCTCAGGTGACCTTTCCACCTTAGCCTTCCAAGTAGCTGGAACTACAGGCACACGCCACCACGCCCGGCTAATTTTTTGATTTATTGTAGAGATGAGGTCTCGCCAAGTTGCCCAGGCTGGTCTCAAACTCGTGGGTTCAGGTAATCCTCTCACCTCGGCCTCCCAAAGTGCTGGGATTATAGGTGTGAGCCACCGTGCCTGGCCTCCAAAATATTTTTTATAAAGCTCTCCTCCCAATACAGAATCCAATTGAACTTAAGTACTGCATTTGGCTATTTTTTTAAACCTTTTAAAATCTACAATTACTCCCTCTGTCTATTTTAGTTTCTGTTACATCAATCTTTTCAAAAGTCCAGTCCAGTTGTCTTGCAGAATGTCCCATATTCTGAATCTAATTACTTCCTCATGATTAAATTCAGTTTAAATATTTTCTGGCAAGAATATGTCACAGGTGAGATTCTACCACATCACAAGGTACAGACTGTGCCTCCACTGATGATGTTAAGTTTGATCAAGTTTGGCTAAGATGGTAACCATTAGACTACTTCATTGTAATAATATATTTTTGTCTTTGTTATCTGTAGTGTGATACTTTGAGACCATGTAAATAGCTAGTTTCTCCACAACCTCTGAATCAACTGTCTGAATCAATTATTATACTGGGAGTGACAAAATGATAATTTTCTAATTCTATTATGCATTCCTCATTTATTAGCTAGCATTCTTCTGTAAGATCCCCCCATCCCACTCATTTTTTAGATGTTCACTCTGGAGTCATGGAACATTAATGTTTTTAAAATAAATGCAATTAAATTAACCTATCATCTGTGTTAAATATGTGTGCATCTCATAAATATATGAAAAAAAATCCACATATATATAAAATGTACCCACAAATACATACTTGTGTGCTCATATGCTATAAGGAGGAACCCAAGAAAACTCAGAATTTTTTGGAGGGCAGGACCCTTGTAGTATACTCAGAATTTGTTCCTCCGGGTCAAATGGTCAACCAAAGTTTTCATCTGAAGTTTTGAGAAGGCTGCGTCACAATTTGCGGAAGAAATATCCCAAGTTGTGGCAAACATGACAACATACCTGCCCACACCACACTGAGTATTCAGCAGTTTTTGATCCCAAACAGCATGATCCTCATGCCTTACCCTCCCTGTTCACCCTACCTCCCCCCAAGTGACTTTTTTTGTTGTTTCCCTAGATGAAAAAGCCTTCAAAGGGAAAAATTTTGCCAACGTGGAAGAGGTGCAAAAAAAAGCGGCAGAAACACCAAAAGGTATCAAAATTGACGAGCTCAAAAACTATCTTGAGCAGTGGAAAAGGCGTCTTGATAGGGGTATTGCATCAAACAGAGAGTATTATGAAGGGGACTGAAGTTTAAACATGTAAGAATAAGTATACAATTTTTATAAATAAATTCCAAGGTTTTTTTAGTTCTTCTCGTATATCAAGAAAGATACACAAGAAAACTCAACAGTGGTTGCCTCAGGGGAGGGGAGTGGAGGACAAAGGTAGGAAAGAGGCTTATTTTTCACTACTCTTTTGCACATTTAACTCATATCATTATTTAACATATTAGTTATAGTCTATTTAGGAAATATAAGCAAATAAAATTATCTCAACAAATATTTGTATAATATAAATATACTTCAAAACTCTACTGATACTCCAATTATTCCTGTAAAATTCCAGCAAAAGAAATCTGGACAATTCTATGAGTCTGAGGTTTTGGGATAAGACTGTGTCAAGAGGGAGGTCAGCTGAGAAGGAGCAAACTACTCTCTCTCAAAGGACAAACAGCTGGCAGGAACTTTGAGTCAACGCTTACTTAGTCAAGATCAGAGTTATTCTTGCAGAACGGAGGAGAGGAGAGAACAAAGTGGCCCAACAATGACTGTATATATAACTACCAAACAGTGCCCATTCCAATTTCTGACTCTTGATTCTGTCAGGTTCAGGACTGTTGTCATTGCTAATGAGGTGATAGGGAATTTCACAAGCAGAAGGTCCAGCCTGGGGGAAATGGGCTCTTTCTTCCTGTTGCCTCTGAGTCCTTAGGCCCTCTGGATGAGATTAGAACAGGGCAAATGCCTCTAAAAAGTAAGCGCTACTTTTCAAAATACAGATGCTGGGACTGAAATGTGTACTTACCTTTTGAATGCTTTCATCCACAAGTCCACCAAGGATGTAAACTTTGTTTAGATCAACATCTTCAAGAGCTAATAAAAAAAAGGAAGGCTACTGAGTTCAAATCTGTTTTATAATTTCTAAAACCAAAGAAAGCAAAAGGAAAGAATAAGTAACAATAAAAGTTGAAACTTAATGAACAGAAAACAAAAGCCACATTGGCTCAACAAAGGCAAAAGTTAATTCTCTGAAATGACAAATAAAATAGACAAACTGTTAGCATATCTAATCAAGAAGAAAGGTAGTAGACCCAAATCAACATTGGATTCACAAAGGAAATAAAATTAAAACTACAGAAGAATGTGAAATAATCTGAAGAAAATGCCGTATCAACTTAATACAAATACATCTGAAAATATGTGAAATGGGTAACTTTTTAGGAAAAATCTAATGTATATATTTTTCTAATATCTATATCTATATACATTTTATATATATGTATATATATCTAACATTGATCCAAGAAGAACGAATAGGGCAGCTGGCCAGGGAAACTGGGAAGGACTGTTAGGCAGCACCGGAGATCCAGATGAGGATGAAAACCTAAATCTGTACAGCTATGTACCCTGGTAGGACATATACAAAGTGAGGTACTTTCCCATAAGAGGAGGGCAACTCATGTTCACTCCTTTTTTTGGACAGGGGGAGAATACTCCTTGAGTGGCTTTAATACATTCTGCCATGGGAAATAATGAACAAAGGGCTACACGAATCCATGTAGCAAAGTACATACCATGTTCTGAGTCAGGAGTCAGGTATACAAGGGTTTCCAGAGGAAATAAACTAAAGCAGTCTTCTTCCATTATGTCTAGCTGGAAAATGCAAGGAGTCCAATGTAGTAGGAACTAGGTTAAAGCAACTCATAATTCAATAACTAGTTACCAGGCTTCTAGTCTCTATAAGGCATGGCTCTGGGTATATCAAGGGGCTGCATGTCTGACAGTGTCTTCTCAGAAAGTGCTGAGTCAGGAGGGAAAGTAGAAAGACACAAATGTTCAAACCTATGAAATGATATAGAAGAGACATGGGGTTCTAACAATGGTACAGGGAGCATGTCCCAGGACTCCAGACAAGAGAGTAGAGCAATACCAGGGATGACCTTCTGGTTAAGTGAATGCTGGAGTTGGGTTTCTAAAAGAACTGAGACTGACACATAAGAGAAGAATTCAAAGCAAGGGGAATCACCTAAGAAAGGCTAGAAGACAGGAAAGCAAAGGCAAAGGAACTATGTGGCCCTGTAAGAGGGTCTGTTTGGCTTATGTACAGAAATCATTTAAAAAAAAAAAAAAAGCACAGAGCTGAAAATGGCTGCACTACAGGAAAGATTATTAAGACAAAATAGCAGCAAAACAACCAGGTGTGCTGTACCACACAGTGCACCTTTCACATTCATCACTTCTGTGGACCTCCCTGGTAAGGGCCACAACTGCTCAGTCTTAGCTACATAGTGCAAACACATAGAGCATTTTTAGAAACATCTCTTAGAAACTGATCTGGATTCTCACCTGTGTATTGATCACTGCATTTATGAGATCCCAGAGAAATAATTAAAAAGTACTTAATACTCCCTAAAACTCATCTTAAATTCACATTACTTCTAAAAGGATTCTTGCTCTTCCTCCAAAACTCATGTTTCTTAATTTGTCACTATGAAGAACAAGAAAGGAGTCATAGCATTTTCCAAAAATTGTTCCTGGAGTACACAGCATAATATATACAGGATACAAAATATAGTCCTAGACACCAGTAACATTAGTTTGCCAGTGCAGTCAGAGAAAAAATTTTAAATGTAAGAACTAATGAGAGATTCTGAATTTTTAAAGACTGCAATAGTAAAAACATATAATTTATATACACATTACATCAAACTATGAAAAAGTGAAGAGAAAATTTATTATTACTCCACAATCACTTTTGGACAATCCAAAAAATATGCAAAGGCAGACTTACCAGATAACTAGAAAATCCATCATTCATCCTCAAACACTCTTCATACAGGGGACTGTCTGTTGTGAACCCAGTGAGGCAGATCCAAAATGGCCTGTCAGCTTTTTTGTTTGAACCATATAACCTTCGGATCTGTCCAGCCAGTCTACTTAATTCCTTTAAAGAAATAAGGACAACTCAGGGTAGAAATACACAACTCACTCTAAACTCATTTTCAATAAATGGCTACACATTAAATCCACTGAATACTACTCCAGAAAATCTCATTAACCAGGCATACGTGCATGTGTTACACTCTATGGTGTCATATCTTACAAGAAAAAGTTAATGATACCAGCCCAGAAATAGTGAGTTAGTGAAAAAAACCGAGATTCTCCTTCCTGCTGGCCATTGCAGTTATATATTTAATATAATATATGAAATTGCTATTTTCGCTTTTATCTAAAATCTTACCATGTGATATTTACTATTTAAGAGCTTAGATTACTATACAGAAATTTTTAGCCCATCAGATAAATTTGGCACCTTCTTCTTAACTCCAGGAGAAACAATAGAGCTAGAAGTTTTAACTTTTCACCCTGATTCAGAGACAATGCTCTTACATAGTTTTACAAACTAGCCTGATTTGTTTGGTACAGAAAACAAAGCTTCAGGTTTGATTCAATCTGATTATCTCAATTCATATAAACAGTAGAGAATTCTAGGTTGACCTTTTCAGAGGGTTAGAGTCAGAGGTTTCATGTAAGAACCCCAGATCTACAGTTTTCCTAATTTATTGGAAAACACGCAAACACTAGTACATATAAGAAACATCTGAAGCCGGGCTCGGTGGCTCAGCCTGTAATCCCACGCCTTGGGAGGCTGAGGTGAGTGGATTGCCTGAGCCCGTGGGTTCGAGACCCGCCTGGGCAACTTGGTGAGACCTCATCTCTACAATAAATCAAAAAACTTAGCCGGGTGTGATAGCATGTGCCTGTAGTTCCAGCTACTTGGAAGGCTGAGGCAGAAGGATCGCCAGAGCCCCAGCAGGTCGAGGCTGTGGTGGCCTGCACTCCAGTCTGGGCGACAGAGTGAGACTCCAACTCAAAAAAAAAAGAAAAAGAAAAAGAAACATCTGAAAATAGAGAGATTTGTTTAAAATTCACATACTGTGATGTGAGGCCTAAAATTGAGGCCCAACATTATATGCTGCCTTGACTTCTGGAGAGATAGAGAGGACCTCAAATAGCCTAACTGCAGTTCCCTTCTCAACTCTGTTTCCATAGGTAAGATGCCCCAGCTAAAAAAAACACCCTTTTATCAAGGGTCCAAGGCATAGTTCCTGTTTATCCTTAAGTCGTGAGTTTTGGTTCCCTGCCAACCTAAGGAATTAACCTATAAACCAATCACATCCTCCTTTGGGAACCAGGGAGCACCTCATCTTCTTGATACCACCAAACCCACCTCTCACAGCCCCTGGTTGTTCATTCTGTTCTTCATTACAATCCCCAAGTGGCCTTGTGTGGTATACATTATCTTCTGCCTCTAGGCTGTGAGTACATGAGACTTATAAATTACTGTCAACTGCATTTGTCCAGTGTCAGGTGTCATGCATTTAGCCATTCCTAGAACCCCCGGGTGGGAATCCCTCCCTCACCAATGGGGTGAATGAGAAGCAATTAAAACACATACACTGCAAGATGACCTTCCTCAGGTAGCCTCCCCACAACATGCTAAGGCAAATATCCCTCTTCCCAGCACAAGGCCAAAGATTTAGTGTCTGGGGAACTGAACCTGAAAGATTCCACCCAGACTAGGGACACCATGAATAGAGGTAAAGGCACTGGGCTCAAAACAGAGGACAGGGTAAAAATTTGCAAACTAAACCAAAAGATTCGATTTCAGATTCTTTACAACAGCCAAGGGAACTTAGTAGTCCAGTGTAGAAAATCAAACATTGTGCTAGTTTACTAAAGAATCACAGAAGCTGGAGTTGGCCTTATTCTTCATGAAAGCTGCAATTGGACCTCCCCCATGCGAGCAGGAATTCTGGGCTTAGTAGATGTTCTACCTTTTTTGACATGTGGTGGGTCATACTCAAATCGATACACAGTCTTGGTCCTGAGTGTTTGGCTTCCAAGAGTTTCTCTTTGGTTAAAGCTCTCAGAAATCGTTTGCTGTGCTGTGGGCAGATACCTAGAGCAGAAATACCAGAAAGAAAAGTGGAAAACCAGAGGAATAAATATTCTGTAAAAAACAAATCTCCCTCGCCAGGTGAGTACTTTTTGCATATAACAAGAAACTTATCAAAAAATTAGCTGGGCATGGTGATGCAAGCCTGTAGTCCAAGCTACTTGGGAGGCTGAGGCAGAAGGCTTGCCTAAGTCCAGGAAGTCAAGGCTGCAGTGAGCCATGATTGTGCCACTGCATTCTAGCCTGGGCAACAGAGTAAGACCTTGACTCAAAAAAAGAGAACCAGCCAGGCGCAGTGGCTCATACCTATAATCCCAGCACTTTGGGAGGCTGAGGCGAGAGGATTACCTGAGCCCATGGGTTCGAGACCAGCGTGGGCAACTTGGCGAGGCCTCATCTCTATAATAAATCAAAAAAATCAGCCAGGCATGGTGGCGTGTGTCTGTAGTTCCAGCTACTTGGAAGGCTGAGGCAGAAGGATCACCTGAGCCCAGCAGGTCAAGGCTGCAGTCGCCATCAGCGAGCATGCCACTGCACTCCAGCTTGGGAGACAGAGTGAGATTCCAACTCAAAAAAAACAAAAACAAAACGAAGAGAAACTTGATAGTTGTGCAAAGTATCTATTCATCAGGAGGTTTACATATAGCAGAATGGTGAGGAATATGGGCTCTGGAATACACAGCTGGGTTTAAATACAAGTTCAGTTTGTTCATTAGCTGAATTAGCTTATGTTACTTAATTTTTTCTGAGACTCAGTCTCTTCACCTACAAAATGGAAATAACAGTAGTTTCTCTCTATTGAGGTAATCCAAGTAGAATTCTTAGAATGGAACCTAGAGCATAGCACTAAATAAACGTTATCTGTCGCTGGTATCATTCCTTCTACTCTGAGCTTATAAACACATATGTTCACTAGACAACTTACACTGAAAAAAAAGCCTTAATTTTTCCTTTCTTTGATGTTTTGATTCCCAAGAAAATAGGACAGTGGGTCCTACCTCCCAGATTTTTTTTTTACTTAAATAAAATTCCTATTCTCCTAGGTACATAAAGACATCAGTTTGCTAGAAAATAATTATAATTAGACCAGCAATCTCCATTTATTGTTACCTGGATTTTCTGCATGATTGGCTTTTCTTCTTTCTTTTTCTTGCTTTCTTTTGCTCTTCTTTGCTGCAACTATCTTTTCCCAGTGTCTCTGTTTTCTTTGGACATTTTTCTTATGTTATCCAGAAAACAAAATTGATTGAGAACTTCATAAGCACCAAAAAGGAAAATGAACATTAGAAACAGTTACTTATTTTTTTCATTTACATATAAAGTTAGGAGGAAAAAAGGATATTAGTCTTAAAAACAAACCTAGACTGGACTACCGTATTTAGAGAAAACAGAGGCCCAGAAAGAGATGTAACCTGCTCAAGGTCACAGTAAGTTCATTAGGGACAGGGCCTCAAGTAGAGTTTAGATTTCCAGACCCTTCTGAGGTATATAAAAAATTCCTTTTGAATTTTTATTTCCTTTTCCTATTACTCAAATGAAACTAAAACTTTAAACCCATTAGAGAAAAATTAATTTGTCACTACAATACATACAGCTCATTCCCAGTCTTTCTTTTTATTACAAACATCCACCCTTAGGTCATTCCATCAGTCAACCCCATGGCCAGGCAACTCACTGCACTCACCGAGCACCATGCTGCACTGCCTGTGGGCAGGGTCTCCCTTTCCTGGTGCTCACATTCCATATCAATCTGCAGAAGCTGGAAGCTTTCAGAGATTCCATCTTCACCTGTGTCCTCCAGGACGCCTTCTTGCATCTGCAGCACAGGTGACTCTGTTTTTTGAGCACTTTCTTCCAGTTTACAGTCCATGTGCTTAGTCATCTGTCCTTTCAGCTAGATAGGAAAAAGGCACAATTATGTGAACTATTGCATTAGTTCACATACACAGGTATTTCCCTATATCTAAGTGACAAATAGTGTTACTGTATGACTGAAGGCTCAGAAGTGTGTAAAATACTGATCCAAATTTATTGAACTGAAAAAAACATGTGTCTTCCAGAGAAATAATTCTGCAGAGAAGCAGCTCAGTAGTAAGAAAGCCAAGTACACTTAGTGGACAAGCACAACTCCTGACATCTTCAGGCAATCAGTGATTATCTGGTTACTGCACTGACACAGGTAACCAATTTACTGTGTACTTTGAAATGCATTGTTATGATTTGAGGGTAGAGGTTGCAAAAACCACCTCACCTCCCCATTGTTTGAAATAATTTATTTTCAAAATCACTCCTTTAGCAAATATTTATTGAGCACCTAGCACAGGTAAGGTACAGTACTAGAAACATCCTAGGAGGATGATGAGCTAATCAAAATATATGGTAGAGTGGCAGGAAAACAATCACAGGTTCTTCTAAGTTATTGGTGATGTATGAGAATTAGTTTTTTCAAACTATGTATTCCTTCCGCCAACTCAGTTGAGTATTACTGTAGCAGAATGCCACAGTCACCAGTGAGAATGCATAATCCCTCAGGAGTGTTGAGGTTGAAAAATATGGACAAGCACTGTTATAGAACACCTAACAAATGATATCATAATTGCAAAGTGGCGTTCAAAATATCAGAAAGATGTGAGCTAGAAATGCTCTAGTCTACAGTCAAGAGACATAGACCAAGGGTGCGGTGACCATTTTCCATGGCTGGTCCTCTAAGTCCAGTTACTACCACAATTCTAAGAAAAATATATCTTTAAGAATGTAAATCTATGTAATATGACTCAGGTATATGGCAAAAAAAAAGTATAATGAAAAGTAATGATCCTCACTCCTACTCCTTCTACCTTCTTAACCATTTTTAGTTCTTTTGGTAATTAACTCCTTAACCTGAAATCATATGCTTACATCATTATTTTGTGATTTGAATTTACTAACTACCTATGAAATAGTAAAATTCAATCATTTAAATCTTCAATCTGAGAAAGCTGGCAGAAAAAATAAACACTTCACCTATTAACTCTTTGTTAACTATCTTGATCTTTATATTATCTTGTAAACATTTTAAGGGTATAGTTCAGTGAACAAGTGTGTGTGGATATATACCAGTTTAATGAGTTTTGACAATGCATAGGGCCTGTGTTACCACTCCCTCCTAACATGGAACATTACCATCATTCCACAAAGTTTCACTTCCTTTCTACTTTCCAAATCAATTTCCATTCTATTCTTACAACCTGCCACAGGCAGCCACTGTTGTTTCCTGTAAACATACATTAATTATACCTATTGTAAAACTTCAAACAGATTCAAAAAGTATGGATCTTTAAAACTTGACTCCATCCCCCCAATATGATGTTTTTAAGATTTATACAAGTTGTTGCATGTTGAATGAATAGCAGTCCATTGTATGAATACACCACAACTTATTACTGTCCTGTTGATGGGCATTTGAGATTTTTCCAGCTTGAGAATATTATGAATAAAGCTGCTAAAAATATTCTCATACAAGTGTTTTTGTGGACATGTTTTCACTTGTTAGCTAAGTACTAAGAGAATTGCTGGGTCATAGGTGTATATTTAACTTATAAGAAACTGTCATCAGTTTCCCAAAGTACTGGACCATTTTGCACCACCTGCCAGCCAATGTATGAGAGTTCGGGATATTACACATCATCACAAACACCTGGGGACCCCTGTGCAGATTTCTGTAACTACACAGCTCCCTCCTAGCCAATACCCTGCTCCACAAATTTCAGTCATCTCAGTGACCCTAAATTAAAATCTGTTTCCTCCAAGCAAGGATGCTGCAGCACTCCGTATGGGCTTGATGTCACTGTGCAGTGGTTTGAAAAGTGCCCTAGGCAGAATGCCAGGGTAACTATGGGGCTTAGTTTGTGTGTTTTTCTCTCAAAGTTTACAGCCTAGTCCTGCCTATTGCTCAGTACCTGAAAACAACTTCATATAGTCTGTCCAGTTTTATAAGTACAATAGCCATTCCTATCATGACAATTACCAGAAGTCATCTTTATTACTTTTACGAATATTTTTATACTTCTATTTCTTGTTCAACATCATTATATAGTATTTCTGAGTCCCCATTATGTTAGGCTGTAAATATAAACACGCTTAATTACTATCTTTCCCCCCTTTAATTTTCCAACTGTGGTAAGTGGAGCCCTTAATTTTACATGGTCAAGGCAGGTTTTACATTTTGTTCTACCATTACAATTAAGCCTTCTGTGCTTTGTCTATTCTCGTTTCTAAAATTTCTAAACCTATAAACTGCATTTATATTATAACTCCATAAATACCATTCACTGTAGAGATGGTTAGTGTCCTAGAATTACATTTTCTTTTCCAGTGTTTTGACACTTAAGCTTAGAAAACATTTCTGGTGTTGAGGTCATAATGCTTTTTTTTCCTTGTACTCCATCAAATACTTAAAACTGTACCAAATTTTAAGTGGAAAAATAACAATCTAAGGATTCAATCACACTTCCCATTTTGCCACTTGTGAATGGTAGAACAATAGCCGGAACATTTAACTCTGGGATAGATTGTCTCTACGAGATGGGAAAAACCAACTCACAGGATGGCTGTAAGGACTAGATACATTTCATTTACCTTATATAAAACAAGTACTTATGAAATACTGGCTGTTGTTACCAATATTCAAAGCATTTCCAGTGTTTTCTTACACTTTTTCTTTTTTTTTGAGTTGGAGTCACACTCTGTCGCCCAGACTGAAGTGC